ACTAAGTTTGCCAACCGATGTGATTTGTGCATATTTTTGGATAATTAATGAGGTTAGTAAATTCTGATGGATTAAACGATTTATTTACACCGTAATATCTACATGTTCAATAAAAAGTCTAACTTCTGTATACGGCTTTTTTCTTCTTCAAGTTTCAAGCTATACATTATATCTCAACAGCACGATACTCACATGTTTAAACCTAACCTCAATAATGTTTACCAACAATATGTCCTGCAAGCGGGGGATATAAATTACACGCATTTGCTTGTTAATAATATATATTAGTATTTGAAATAAACTACTCCATGGCTAGATAATTACGGTCGACGTCTGTCTACTCAGACAGCTACACGTATACATTACAGAGAATCTATCTTTCTGGTCAAGTTGAATAATATTCTACTATTCAATAAAATAGCACTGTCCATATACATCGTGTATATCAAAACAACGTCAGCCACACAGTGATACGGTTCTGTAGCATTGACGACTTCTCAAAGTTATCTCTCCGACTTCTCTTTATTTAAGAAAAATTGAGAAATAATCAACGTAGCGTGCTTATTATGAAGAACACAACAAGTGCGAGAAATGTTGGGGAATTAACGAAGAACAAATGACCCAAGTGCAGGATTTCATATATACCATACAACCGACCGTGGCTGATTGCGATACTTGTTTACGTTGGAGGTCATTCCGTATCTACCACTATCGCGTTGTGTAAAACCATACAAACATTGAATAGTATGTCAACCGAAATATGTGTCAACGCAACGTTAACCAGACATGGTACAAAAGGTTATGTGCAGGGTATGTGAGCGACTCCCAATAGGCGGTTTGAACGGGTCGAACGACCGAACCAGGAACTAAGTGATTGTCTTTTTCTTCTTCATTAGGATAAGAATAGCCAGCTGGCGCACGAACTGATGGAAAACTATACAATTATAATCATATAACAGTAATAAAATGAAAAACGCAACACGTTCGCAGTACTTTAATCTCATCTGAAGAATCTCCTTGTTGAGATGAAAGTACAAGAGACGTGTTGTTGAGATATTTTTCTTTTTATACTTATATAATTATATACAGCGAAACTTCTATGATAGGGTGCATCTTTCTATGTTAAAAAGTAGGCACTAACATAAAAAGTGAAAAGCATTTTCACATGGAAGAGCACAGTTACCAACTGGACTTTCAACAAGACTTACCCTATAACAATCATATTTAAATGTACTACACTGATTTCTAAGTTTTGCATGCAAAATTCAAATTAAGGAAAATTACATCAAAATGTGTATGACGATCACTAAAATTGGAAAAATCGCTTTTAAATTTCAATTATACACCCTCATCAATTTCGACAGAGTTTAAAACGAAAATTACCTCAGTTTTTTTCTGGATTGAATGTTCCTTACCAAGTTTAGGACTATGATTCAAAAACATCAGCAATATCATTAATAAAGATAGGAATAAAAATGGCCCAGGAGTTCCACCCTGAGGAAAACTTGCCTAAATGATTAAACCTAATTAGTGAGAATAAGAATGATTAAACCTAAGTGGGAGTAAGAATGCTTAAACCTAAGTGGGAGTCAGAATGATTAAAACTAAGTGGGAGCCAGAATGATTAAACCATAGTGGGAGTCAGAATGCTTAAACCATAGTGGGAGTAAGAATGATTAAACCTAAGTTGGAGTAAGAATGATTAAACCATAGTGGGAGTCAGAATGATTAAACCTAAGTGGGAGTAAGAATGATTAAACCATAGTGGGAGTCAGAATGATTAAACCATAGTGGGAGTCAGAATGATTAAACCTAAGTGGGAGTAAGAATTATTAAACCTAAGTGGGAGTCAGAATGATTAAAACTAAGTGGGAGTAAGAATGATTTAACCTAAGTGGGAGTCAGAATGATTAAACCATAGTGGGAGTCAGAATGATTAAACCATAGTGAGAATAAGAATGATTAAACCTGAGTGGGAGTCAGAATGATTAAACCTGAGTGGGAGTCAGAATGATTAAACCTAAGTGGGAGTAAGAATGATTAAACCATAGTGGGAGTAAGAATGTTTAAACCTAAGTGGGAGTAAGAATGCTTAAACCTAAGTGGGAGTCAGAATGATTAAACCTGAGTGGGAGTCATAATGATTAAACCATAGTGAGAATAAGAATGATTAAACCTAAGTGTGAGTCAGAATGATTAAACCTAAGTTGGAGTAAGAATGATTAAACCATAGTGGGAGTAAGAATGTTTAAACCTAAGTGGGAGTAAGAATGATTGAACCATAGTGGGAGTCAGAATGATTAAACCGTAGTGAGAATAAGAATGATTAAACCTAAGTGGGAGTAAGAATGATTACACCTAAGTGAGAATAAGAATGATTAAACCTAAGTGGGAGTCAGAATGATTAAACCTAAGTGGGAGTCAGAATGATTAAACCATAGTGGGAGTCAGAATGATTAAACCTAAGTTGGAGTAAGAATGAGTAAACCTAAGTGGGAGTCAGAATGATTAAACCATAGTGAGAATAAGAATGATTAAACCTAAGTGGGAGTCAGAATGATTAAACCTAAGTGGGAGTAAGAATGATTAAACCTAAGTGAGAATAAGAATGATTAAACCTAAGTGGGAGTCAGAATGATTAAACCATAGTGGGAGTAAGAATGATTAAACCTAAGTGGGAGTCAGAATGATTAAACCTAAGTGGGAGACAGAATGATTAAACCTAAGTGGGAGTAAGAATGATTACACCTAAGTGAGAATAAGAATGATTAAACCTAAGTGGGATTAAGAATGATTAAACCTAAGTGGGAGTAAGAATGATTAAACGTAAGTGGGAGTCAGAATGATTAAACCTAAGTGGGAGACAGAATGATTAAACCTAAGTGGGAGTCAGAATGATTAAACCTAAGTGGGAGTAAGAATTATTGACTCTCTGGTGCCTTCGAAATAGGTAATTTAGATATACAGTAGAACGACCAGGCAAAAAAACACAGACTGGTTCTTATAAAAGAAAAGTGAGTTTTCAATAAAATTGCTATGTAAGTATTTGAAAATCACTCTTTCAAACACTTCTCCAACTGTAGATAATAAAGAAATAGGTCTATAGTTAGAAGGAAAATACCTGTCACCTTTTTTGATCAGTTGCATAACTTTGGTGGTTTTCCAAGATTTTGGGAAACAACAGACGCTTAAGAAGTATTAAAATGTTTTCAATGGGAACACAAAGGTTTCTGATATGTTTCGTAGCATATTGTGGCTGATTCCATCCTCACCCGAGGCCTCACCAAGCTTCAATATCTGTACATATCTCGTATTTCATTATTATTGACTCTGATGGACCTAGGACTCTTGTCAGCTTTTGACTCGATTGAAGTAACCGCAGTGTCATCTACACGTGTTATGTTAAATATAGCCATCTTATAAATTAGCTAGTCACTAGTAACCAATTTGTCAGAAACAGGATCTACAAGAGCACAGATTGTGTAGTACCAGACGATTGTTTTAACCTTTTGATAAATCTCCAATACGCTTTTGGATCAGAGAACGAGTACTCTTCAATTAAACAATTTACGGGCATGCATTTTTATGTTATTGACCTTATTACGTTGAGATTTTAATTTGTTGATGTTTGAAAGATATTTGGTTGACCTCGCGATTTTATGCAATTTATCTATAATTTAAAAAAAAGTCTTAATTTAGAGGTCACCTAAGGTTTATCATTATATTTCATAGTTACGTGTTTTGATGAAATACATATATTAGCAAGCCTTATGAAAATATCAGTAAAACGCTTACATGCAGTATCAACTGAATCACAATTAAAAACAATTCGTTCCAATTATAATCAGAAATAAGATAATTATATCTGTCAAAATCTTCCCGTTTATACTGCCAAATGTTTTGCTTAAAATAGGATTGACAATACAGGGAACACCAATGCAAGCAATACAACGGTCATGGTCACTGAATGATTTGTCTATTGTTATAACAGGGGAATCATTGATAACAAGCTAAAGGAATAAATTATATTAAAAAGCATGGTTACGAGATGCAGTTAATAAGTCGACTTTAAGTCCCCCGTGAATGTAGCATTTGGTGAAATATCTAGAGCATTGCTTAAAGATGTACAAACATTTACCCCAAAAGGTAAAGCATAATTTTCAGGTCTGTCGGTCGAACCAATAACCAATACAAAATTTCGTAGAGTGATCTTTAACCAAATAATCTCATCACCTTCTCATTCTAATTCCGGTCAACGGTCAACATTTAAAATAGTATTGATATAAACCAGAACACCACCACCAGCGAAATTTGAAATTTCTATCGAAAAGAAAAGGTACATGAAAACCAGATATAAGTAAGTCATCTGTAGAGACCTTATCATCTAAATGAGTTTCAATTAAGCAGATAATATCATATTCATCAGATATATCCTCTATGCGGTTCAATTTATTCCTGAAACCTAGGAAAATAGCGAGTCGGTAACATCATACTAGGACAACGTACAATCCAGCAAAATGTCTTGATTAATAATATTTTACATGTGAAATAAATCTTGCAAAGGTGTGTCATTCAAATAGATCATAAATGCCATACAAAACAGTTCAAAACCTATATTAATGTTTTCTCCGCCTGGAGATTGCCAGGTGTCGTGAACCGGTACTTTTTAACAAGCTTGGCTGAAATACGTGCATGTACACATATGCTTAAAAGGTGTGGATATCAATCGTTTACATGTCATGACCTTGAAATGATATGCTAGGAGCAGAACCAAGCCCGGTACCATGTGTATAGTCGTCTATTCAGGCTAGGAAATTCAATTTATATCTATGGGAAAGAAATGAGACTTAACCCAAGGAAGGGGGCCGGACCTCAGGGTCAATACTGGAGGTATGATTGTGCTCGTCTCATTTTGTCAAGCGGATTGACATCCGGTTATAAGATGAGAATCTCAACCATTTCCCAATCAATGCCCATTTATGTTCCACACTTCAGCCCCCTTGTTAGTCAGCTCTCCATTTTTACATTTTTTAATCAATCTTCCGGTGTGAGCCCGTCCATATTTCCTTTTTTTTAAATCACCACCACGGACAACGGCCGACGCAGTACAACATAAGCTGCTCCTTAGGACCGGATGAGCTAAAAATAGTCTGTTGGTGAAAGAAGCGCACCAGCCATATAAATGTAGGCTACAAAGGCCTACCACCCAGAACTACCGATTTTCATCATGGAGGTATCGGGGAAAATCTGGCTTGTTACGTCCTATCTTATCGTTCTCGTCCCCCGGGGCGGGGCCCAGATGGTCGGGATGGGACAGTCGGAATACGATCCAGATGCCGTGACCCCCGGAAAATTTCCTGACGACTTTGCCTGGGGTGTGGCGACCTCGGCGTACCAAGTGGAGGGGGCCTGGGACAAAGATGGTATGTAATGAGAAAAAACAACATAGAATCCGGATATATTGGGTATGAAAGATTCGAAAATGAATATCATAGATGATTAAATCGACAATAAATATTAGCAAAATTGTTGGACAAATCGTACTATTCGGAACTCTTTAAAGATCATCATTCGGATTTTTATGGGAAATTGCAATTTGCATCATAAATGTTCGGATCAGCATGATTTCTTTGTAAAGAATAAAACCTTATTGATGTTATTTCACTCAATAAAACACCCAACACAAATTTAATGACAATCACGTATCATCGGGTGACAACTGACAAATATAAAGACATATATTTGAAATGTGATAAATTGTATGAATTAGAAAGATCAGTAGCCTGCTTGCCGATCGTCGGTTAAGGGTAGCCATTATGTACGTCATACCAACAGCTGTTTAACAGTTATCTGACCAGTTATTACGGAATTACGTCAATCAAATGGATATCTTCAGGTTGTTTTTGTTGGCTGGGGTGTAATATGGACATTCCTGATAAAAGCACCACGTTTCTCACGGAATCTTCTTATCACCAATTAGCTACATTATACCAAATTTTAATATGATCCACTTACTACAGACATAATATTGTAAACAAGTATTAGTGTTAACATCTTGGCTCTCTAATCTTGGTCAATGTAAATATATCACTAGTTGATTGACGTCTCTATAGGAAAGAGTTTTATTGATTTCCCTATGTATATAATCTATCGTGATATAAGTGTTATGTATATAAATGTTATCTATCTGAACCCCATTATCTATCCAGATATCTGTGTTATTTATCTGAACCCCCATACTATATCCCGATATAAGTCTGATGTATATGAACCCTCATTATCTATAGAGATATAATTGATATCTATCTGAACCCCCATACTCTATCCCGATATAAGTGTTATTTATCTGAACCCCAATAATATATCAAAATATCTGTGTTATTTATCTGACCCCCCATACTCTATCCCGATATAAGTGTTATTTATCTGAACCCCCATACTCTATCCTGATATCAGTAATGTGTATCTGAACCCCAATAATATATCCAAATATCTGTGTTATGTATCTGAACCGCCATAATCTATCTTGTATTGAAAAATCAACAATTGAGCCAGGCTATCGATCAGACCACTCAACACCAATTATATCAATAGTTTTTAACAATTTTAAGAAAGGAAAAGGCCTCTGGAAGTTCAATAATTCATTGCTTCATGAGAGAGAATATCTTAATATTATTAATAAACATATTTTAGACATTAAAATACAATATGCACTACCAGTTTACAACCTCGACTATTTGTCTGTCATTCCAAATGAAGATATTCAACTAACAATCAATGACCAATTTTTTTTTTAGAAACTCTTTTATTTGAAATTAGGGAAAGACTATTTCTTATGCTTAATACAAGAACCCCTAAAAATAAACCCCCAGAAAAGTTATCTTAGAAATAGAATTAAAGAACTAGAAGCTCAAGAAAATGTAGACCATAAAGAACTAAAAGAAAAACAAAATTAATTAGAAGTAATAAGAATACATAGACTGAATGGAAGTATTTTGAGACCTAAAGCTTAATAGGTTGAAGAAGGAGAAAAATCATCTATTTTTTTTTTAAATCTTGAAAATAGAAATTTTGTTACTAAAATTATCCCAGCAATAAATAAAGCAAATGGAGAACTGATTAGAGAACAGGGTGAAATATTAAATGAGGTACAACAATTTTAAGAAAAATTATGTTCTGCAGATAATGATCTTCATGAGGTTAATTTAGATCAGTTTTTAAATGGTAATAGTGTTCCAAAATTGAGTCGTCAAGAATCAGAAAGTTTAGAGGTGAGTATTTCTTATAATGAAGCATCTTGTACACTTAAAAATATGAAAAACAATAAAAGTCCGGGGTCTGATGGGTTTACTTCTGAATTATTTAAATTCTTTTGGAAACAGTTAGGTCAGTATGTAGTTAGATCAATAAGATATGGATATAATAATAATGAACTTTCAATAACACAAAGACAGGGAATCATAACATGTTTACCAAAGGGAGATAAGCCGAGGCAATTTTTGAAAAACTGGAGACCTATTTCACTTCTAAATATAGTATACAAAATAGCATCAGGTTCATTCGCAAATAGAGTAAAAACTGTTTTAAACAAATTAATTAATACTGATCAGTCAGGTTTTATTTCAGGAAGATACAGGAGAAAACACACGAATAATATATGACATCACGCAATATGCTGAAGAGAATGAAATACCTGGTATGCTACATTTTATTGATTTTGAGAAAGCTTTCGATTCTGTTAGGTGGGATTTTATTGATAAGGTACTTGATTTTTTTAATTTTGGAAATGATATAAGAAGTTGGATCAAATTTTTTCACAAGTGTACAAAGTCATCTATTAACCAAGGAGGGAATCTATCACCATTTTTAAAAATTAAATGTGGATGTCGTCAAGGTGACCCTATCGCCCCGTATTTATTTATTTTATGTGCAGAAGTACTAGGTATCAGAATTAGAAATAATAATAGTATTAAAGGAATAAATATAGAAAACACATCAATATTTCTATCTCAATATGCTGATGATACTTCAGTTATTCTTGACGGATCGAAAAGCTCTTTAAGGAAAACATTAGGGGAATTAGACACATTTGCCAAAATTTCGAGATTGAAAATAAACACAATTAAAACTGAAGTAATTTGGATAGGAAGCAAAAAATACTGTGAGGATACTTTTTTTTCAGAGTGGAACTTGCATTGGGGGAACCATAAGTTTACTGTGTTAGGGATTGATTTTCACATTGTATACATAAAATACCAAAACTGAATTATGATAAAAAAACTGGTAAAACTTAAGTTAATTTTAAAAACCTGGAATAGGAGAATACTTTCTCCAATTGGGAGAATTCACATTATTCAGTCTTTGCTTACCTCACAATTTAATCATCTTTTTTATATCCTTACCAAATCCAGATGAACACTTCATTAAAGAACTAAATTCAGAACTGTTTCATTTTTTGGGGTGGAAAATTTGACAAATAAAGAAGGGGTATTATCATAAAAGACTATGTAGAAGGGGGGCTCAAGATGAAACAAATTCATTCTTTTATTAAGGCATTAAAACTAACATGGATCAGGAGATTTTTTTCTAAATCTAATAAATGGCAATGTATACTTAATAAAGATATTGATATAGATATTATGGCTAACTGTGGATCAGAATATTTGTATATTTGTGAAAAAAACATGCAAGAATCCATTTTGGAAAGATGTTCTAAACTCTTGGAAAACCCTCCATAATAAGGAAGAAAATTTGATAAATGGGAATAGGACAATACTGAAAACACCTATTTGGCATAATACATTTTTAACAATAGAAAATAGAATTGTATTTTATAAAGAATGGTATGAGAAGGGAGTAATTATTATCAATGATATAATAAAAGACCCGAAAACAAATACTTTTTATAATTATCTGGAATTTATAGAGAAATATGACTTAAGAACTAATTTCCTTACCTTTGATGGAATAGTTAGAGCTGTAAGGAAATATCTGAGGCATAAGGAAATAGTTAATGATGTTGTTAGTTATCCTTTTATTCCACTTAATCTTGAGATTTTCTTTAAATATATTAAAGGGTCAAAGGACTTCTACAAAATACTCTGCAAAAAAAATATCAGAGCAACAGGTAAAATAAAGTGGAATGAAATATTTAATCTAGATGTTGAAACATGGAATTGTATATATAAAACACCCTTTCAAGTTTCGAAAAATTCTAAGTTACACTGGTTACAATTCAGAATAAGTCATCACATTTTAACAACCAATTCTCATATATTTAAGATAGGATTGATAGAAACTCCATACTGCTTTTTTGTGTAAAACAGAAATAGAAACGATAGTTCATATGCTATTGGAGTGTGAAAAAGTACAGTCCTTTTTTCAGAACTTTGAATTTTTATTAGACTCATTATTTATTCCATTTACTTTTAATAAGGAAACTTTCATTTTTGGCATGCATAACTATAAAAGTACATACTATACAATTGATAACCTTATACTACTACTAATAAAACAGTATATCTATAGATCAAGAAGCTTGCAACAAACCCTATCAATTCATGCTTTAAATAATGCTATTATAGATCACTACAGAATTCAAAAATATATTTCTATAGGCAAAGAAGTAGATACTGCTTTAAAAATTGAAAATTCTTGGAAGAAATGGAACAAATTATTAGAAATCACTCCCAATCCCTGACAAACCCCAAAAGGATAGAATGCATGTGTACATTTTACCTCTGTTAGTTAAACTTTTGATTAAAAGAGATAAATGTAACTCCCTGCCACTTTACTGTTGAAATTATAATTATTATTATGTTTCAGGTTAAATAAATAGTTGCACTAATACATGGACACACATGAAAGAAAAAAAAAACATTAGCAAATTTGTATTAAATGTTGGTTGAAGAATGGAAATGAGTGTGAAAATTAATATTGTAATTATTCTGTAATGCTGAAAATGTTTCAAAAAAAAAAAAAAAAAAAAAATCCATAATCTATCCCGATATAAGTGTTAACTTTCTGAACCCCCATAATCTTTCTCGATATCTGTGTTATGTATCTGAACCACCATAATCTTTCCAGATATCTGTGTTTTCTTTCTGAACCCCCATAATCTATAGAGATATAATTGTTATCTATCTGAACCCTGACAATTAATCCAGATCCAGATATCCCGATATGAGTGTTTTCTATCTGAACACCAATAAATTATTCAGATATCTGTGTTTTGTATCTGAACTCCATAATGTATCCCGATATAAGTGTTTTCTATCTGAACACCAATAATTATATCCTGATATCTGTGTTATGTATCTGAACCCAGATAATATATCCCAATATATAAGTAGTATGTATCTGAACCTTGAAAATCTATCCAGATATGAGTGGTATGTATCTGAACTCCATAATCTATCCAGAT